GGGAGCCGCCTCTGCCCCGCGTGGGCGCCATCTCCCCTGCGGTCCCCGCGTCCCCCCGCCCCCCTCATGCTGTGGCCCCAGGTGGCCTGAGCCGCTCCCTGGTGCCCGTCGTGTGCCCGGGGAGCCCCAGGACGGTCCTTGACCATCACTGCCCTGCAGCGTCCTCCCTGGTGAGGCTGTGGCAGTCTGGGTGTGGGCAGCTCCTGACTTGGCCGCGCCTCTCCTCCCAGGGCTGCCTCACCCACACCGTCATGTACTACGGCTACTATAAAACGGCACGCTGAACCCGCCATGCGGCTCCTCAGAGGGTGGCCAGTGCACCCCCGGGGCGGGCGGCCTGCCCTACAACATGCCCCTGGCCTACCTGCTCACCGTGGGCATGGCCTTCTTTGTCACCTGCATCGCCCTGGTGTACAGGTAATGGCTTTCCACCAAGTGACCTGGTCCTGAGAGCCACGAGCCTTCCCTCCCTCTGTCTGTCCTTCGACCCGTCCATTGACCTTTCCTCCCACCTCTCGCCCACCCGCTCACCTGTCCACCCACCCAGCACTCGCTTCCCATCCTTCAGCCACCCGTGCCTCCACCTGTCCACACGTCCGTCCTTCTACACCTCACCCCCCATCCGCCCGCCACTCCCCTCCCATCCGTCCGTCCCAGGCAGTTGCCGAGCTGTGCTCTGCGTGGGTCGGGGGGACTGAGCAGGGCCTGGCCTGGAGAGAGGGTCCCTAGGGACGAGACCAGTGAACGGGCTGGGACGAAGCAGGGGCCCTGCGGTGCTGCTGGGAGAGGGGTCCGCTGGCTTCCCAGGGGAGCTGGCACTCGTCCTGAGGGGGCAGTCAGTGAGTGGGCAGGGGACAGCAGGCAGGGCGTCTGGTCCTTGGGGCAGGCGGTAAAGGCCCCGAATGAGGCTTGTAGTTTGGTAGCGCCCTGACGAAGGCAGGTCAGGGTTGGGGGTTTCTGTCTGTCAAGAGGGGCTGACCCCATGTCATGAGGGGTGGGCACCATGTGAGGTAGGCTGTCCAGGGAGGGCCAGCAGTCCACACTGGGAGGCTGGAGTGCACGGACTCAGTGGGCAGGGTGGGGTGGGCTCGGCCTCACAGCGTCCTGTCCACCTCGGCCCTCACTCAGCCCTGCTCACTGCTCTCCCAGTATGTCCCACTCCTTTGGGGAGAGCTACCGGGTGGGCAGCACGTCGGGGGTCCACGCCCTCACCGTCTTCTGCTCCTGGGACTACAAGGTGACTCAGAAATGGGCCTCCCGCCTGCAGCGGGACAACCTCCGCACCCAGCTGAAGGTGAGTGCCTCCGGCCTGTGCCACGGCTCCCTCCCTGGAGACCCGGCCCAGGGCCCACTAAGGACCTGAGGGCGGGAACTGTAGTCCACAGGGCGGGCCCTTGGCCCATGGGCTGGACTTCCCTCTGCTGGGGCTGTTAGCCCACGGCTCAGCCAAGACCCCGGAGCCAGCTGCCAGACAGCTCCGCTTGCAGGGCTGCGGTGGGTGGGCCCTGGCTGGAAAAGAAGGGGTGAGACCCGGCGGAGGGAGGTAGGTCTCCTGCTTTGCCCTGCAGCAGTTGGGTTCCAGCCTCACACACCCACCTCTACTCATTTCCCGGCCCCAGGGGCCCAGCACAGCAACTCCGAGGTCGAGTCGTGGGTGGGAAGGAGGGCTGGGCCTCCTGGGGGCGGCTCTGCGTCGCTGGGGCCCAGGCTGTGGAAGGTCAGGGCTGTGGCCCACTCGTGGCCATTGTGCCCTGTGTACCAACAGCTCCCGGCCCGCTAGAGGCCGCCGTGTCCACGGGACAGGGAAAGACGGCTGAGAAAGGCCACCTGTCCCAGCAGGCAGGGCAGGTGGGGCTGGGGAGCGCTTCGGGTGAGGTCAGGGTCTAGAGGAGGGTGCGGGTCCCTCCGGGCCCGGTTGCCAGGCCCAGAACAGGTGGGCCAGAGGCGAGCCTGGAGCAGTGACGGTGACAGGGACCCCTGCTGTCCGCAGGAGTTGCTGGCCGAGTGGCAGCTGCAGCAAGGCCCCCGGAGCGCGTGGGGGCGGCTGCGGCAGGTGGTGGTGCCCGGGGCCGTGTGGCTGCTGTGCCTCGGGACCTCGCTGGGCTGCGCCATGGCCGTGCACGCCTTCTCGGAGGGCACGATGGAGGTGCGGAGCCCTGCCCTGAACAGCAGGTCCTGCTGGCTCGGGGTGTCTGGTGTGCGGGGCGGGGTGCGGGGGCACCCTGCCAGCCTGGGATGGGACCTGCCCGCTGCAGGCCGCCTGCACTGCATCTGCGCCGGGCCGCGCCCTCTGCTGCTCTGGCCTGCTTTTTCTCGCCACTTGTGCCCCCACTTCCTGTGTGGTTGGAACACGAAGCCCAAGGGACTGGCCCTTGGGGAGGGAGGTGCTGCACTGCCAGTCCTGCCCCGTCCCGTCCCGTCCCCACAGTCCCCGGCCCTGCAGGGCCCGTCATTGCTGTGGACTTCACCACTCCCGGGCGCATGCCCTGACCTGCCCTCATCCGTTGTCCACACAGAGCCTGGTGGCCGCTGACCAGGAGGCGGCGCTGCTGGCCCTGCCCCTGGTGGTCAGCACCATCAACCTGGGGGCTCCCTACCTGTACCGCGGTCTGGCCGCCCTGGAGCGGCATGACTCGCCCGGGCTGGAAGTCTATGTGTCCGTCTGCAGGTGTGTGGCTGGCGGCGCGGTGCAGGGCTGCGGTGTTGGGCTGCAGCCCGGGGCTCCCTAGGGGAGCTCCTCTCTCCACCTCATCTTCCCCAGGAACCTCATCCTCAAGATGGTCATCCTGGGCGTCCTCTGCTACCACTGGCTGGGCCGCAGGGCAGGCCCCCTGCAGGGCCGGTGCTGGGAGGACTTCGTGGGCCAGGAGCTGTACCGCCTCACGGTCGTAGACTTGGTCTTCGCGCTGCTGGACACGCTCTTCGGGGAGCTGGTGTGGAGGTGAGGGCCCGCGTGGCCGGCGGGCTGCCGGAAATCCTCACGCCTCCGCCCGCACAGCTGCCTAGGCCGCTGTTGGCCAGACCGAGGAACAGGCTTACGGGACAGAAAGGACACGGGGTTCCGATGCCATGTCCATTTCAGTCTTGTTCCCACATGAAGGCAAAAGGAGGTAGAGACGGAGAGGCGGGCCAGCAGGTGGCATGGCAGTGCTGGACTCTAACAGGGTCAACTGGGGTTTGAATCCCAGACCCGGAGGCTTGAAACTACTTGTGGGCGCGGGCTTGAAACTCCTGTTGGGCGCGTGTGCGTGCATGCCCGAGATCCTGCGAGGAGAACGGAGAAGAGACTGCGGCGTGGCCATCCCCCCGGGGGTGATTTCTCACTTTCCCTCTCTCTGTCTCTCTCTCTGACTAGCACATGTGCTCTATGGCAAACGCCTTAGGAAAACAGACACAGAGAGGGTGTGGAGAGACATTTTAGCATGTTACGTGGGGCACGTTTCAGGTGACTTTTCTTTGTGAGTTCTCTTTGAGACTATAAATTTAATATATAATTCCAGGTTCCAGAAGGGGACTAAGATGTACTTAACAATAGAATTTAATAGAGAATAGAATTTAACAGCAACTAAAATTCACATTTTTAGAAAAAGCAGTGAGGTGCTTGATGCCGACTGTTTAGGTGTGGGTGCTTCTGAACCCGCCGAAAAGACGGGGAGCCAGGGGTCACGCCCAGCCCTGGCGGGGACCCCGGCATGGGGCTGTCTCTCCACGGCCTTTGTTTGGGTTCGGACTGCGAGGCCCGGGGATGCCCACCATCTAGACGGGCACCAGGGCTGCTACCCTCCCCAGCCGTAGCCCTCCCGTGCGGCCCTCAGGGACCCTCCTTTGCCCAGGCTTATCTCTGAGAAGAAGCTCAAGAGGAGACAGAAGCCTGAGTTCGACATTGCCCGGAATGTTCTGGAGCTGATATACGGGCAGACTCTGACCTGGTGAGGGTCTCCCACCTTCCTCCTGCGGCTTGGCCCCTGTGGAGGGCTGGGCTGTGGCTGGTGCCCCTGTCCCCCCGGGCCCTGACCCTTCACCCCTGGGACTCACTCTTGCCTGCCTGCCGGACCCAGGGGAGGAGGGGGCGGGGAGGGGAGGCCCGGACGGCTTGTTCCAGCCGCACGTGCAGCTGAGCGTGGTCCTGACCGCAGCCTCTGGCCGCAGGCTGGGGATCATCTTCTGCCCGCTCCTCCCTGCCGTGCAGGTCCTCAAACTGCTGCTGCTGTTCTACGTCAAGAAGGTAACGCCCCAGGGGCCGTGCTCGGACTGGCGGGGGGGGCGGGAGTCCCCGCCCCCGCCCAGGGCGCCCCTGGCATCGTCTGGCAGGCTGGGTGGTATCCCACCATGTTTGAGGTGGCCACCAGGTGCCTGTGCACCGAGAGGCTCCCAGAGCCCAGGCCCCCCAGCCTCTGGGAAGGACCCGGTCCCCTGTCCTCAGCCGTGTGTGCTCAGTGGGCGCCCTGGTCCTGTCTTGGCGAGGCTGATGGGCCCAGTGGAGGGATGCCTCATGGGGTGGCGGGCTGTGGCTGAGTGCAACCTCTGTCCCCAGACGAGCCTGATGGCCAACTGCCGGGCGCCCCGCAGGCCGTGGCGCGCCTCGCACATGAGCACCGTCTTCCTCACGCTGCTCTGCTTCCCGTCCTTCCTGGGCGCCGCCGTCTTCCTCTGCTACGCCGTCTGGCAGTGAGTTGCCCGGCCTCCGGGCTAGGGGAGGCTCTGCCGGTCTGCGTGCCGTCCCAGGGCTTGGGGTGACGTGGAGGTGGCTTTGTCTTGGAGCTGGGAGAGGGTGGCTGGGCTGAGGGCTCTCGCTCACCCTCTGGCCCAGGGTGAAGCCCTCCAGCGCCTGCGGCCCCTTCCGGACCCTGGACACCATGTACCAGGCGGGCACTGTGTGGGTGCGCCACCTGGAGGAGGCGGGCCCTAGCGTGGCCTGGCTGTCCTGGGTGCACCGCTACCTGGTGGAGAACACCTTCTTCATCTTCCTGGCCTCTGCCCTACTGCTGTGAGTTTGGGGCGGGCAGCCGGGCCAGGACCTTGCACTGGGGGACCCCACATGGCCGGCCAGGCCTGATGGCTCACCGCCCACAGGGCAGTGATCTACCTCAACATCCAGGTGGTGAAGGGCCAACGCCAGGTCATCTGTCTCCTCAAGGAGCAGATCAGCAACGTGAGTGTCCCAGCTCCCCGCCCCCACCCCTCTGGCTCCCCCTGGACCCCCGCTCCTGGCGCCCACCCCCCCAGACCTTGTTTGCCAGGGTTAGTGGCTGGGGGGGGGGG